GTGTACTGAGCCTCGACGCGCCCATGGGGGCGGGGGCAGGGCTGGACTGCTAGCCCCATGTACAGGGGGGCAACTGAGGCACAGAGAGACAAGGTCACACAGGAAATCAGTGGCAGAGCAGAGGCTTGAGCCCTAGTCTCCTAAGACCCAGGTTGGGGCTCTAGCCACCGGACTATCCCTGAGCCCAGAGGAAGGCACCTATGGCAAGGCCCAAGCAGTACCATCAGCGGGGCCTTCCCTTGGGTCCCGTGGTGCATGCTGGGTGATGTAGTCCCCACGGGCTGCACTTTTGCATGAAGGTCCAGGGCCCAGCCTGGCTGTGGCTGCTCCTCCAGCCCTTGGGATAGCCTGGCTCTCCATCCCCTGAATCAAAGCCCAGGTCCTGCCAGGACGGCAGGTACAGTTCCCCAGCCCCCAGCAGCGCCAGATCCTGCCCCTGGGCTCTGTTCGTGGTGAGCAATGCAGCAGTCCCGGGGGGTAACCACGCAGCACGGTCCTCCATGTCCGACTGGGGGGGGAAGGGCGGGAGGGAAACGGCCTTGAAATCTAATCCAGGATGCTCTAGAAACCAATAGTGCTGAGCTCAGCGTCTGCGAGCCTGCCGAGGAGTCTGATTATTTTTAGATAAGATGGAGCAGGGACAGGGAGTGCGGGATGCAGGCTGCCCGGCCTGCCTGTGTGGCTGATGAGGCGGCGAGGGGTGGGGAGACTGCAGCAGGCGCTTCCTTTGCACCATTGCTCTTGAAAAACGTAACACGTGCTGCCATCGTTCTAGTCTTCCCATTTTTTTAACTGCCTTTCCTTTGGGAGGGGCTGGCACGGGAGCGGGGCTGAGCCAGCGTCGCCCCGGGGAAATCAGTGCAGTTACTCTGCATTTACCCCAGTGTCACTGAAGCCAGGATCTGGCCCCTCCATCCAAACGGCACCGCGCAGGCCAAATCCTGCAGTCCTTACTCAGTCAAAACTCCCACTGAGGTGGGGAGCTCTGGCAAAGTGGGTGGTAGTGCCCCCTGGGGCACAGCAGAGTGGGGAGTCTGGATGAGATCTGCTTCCCAGCCCTGCAGAGACACTGCTCAGCAATTTGGGACAGGAAGTGGAGGGGTCTGCCTCCAGAGGAAGCAGCAGGAGGAATTCACAGAAGCACTTAGGCCTGGTCTACACTACAAACGTAGGTCGACATAAGCCATGTTAAATCGATCTACTGATGTATGTGTCTATAGTACCGAGTGCCTTCCGCCGACCTAAGTGGCCTGTGAAGTCGAGTAGCCCAGGTTGGTTAATGAGGCACGTGGCTCAGCCCCTTGGCTTCAAGTCTCCTAGTACAAGGAGTTACACTTCTGCAGGAAGTTGCAAGTGGCCAGACGTCGGGTAGGACACACACACACACACACACACACAGCCGCATCGGGTAGAACGGACACACACACACACCCCAGCTGCATAGTGTGAGAAAGAGAAGACAGCCAGGCTACATTTCAGCAGCAACAGTGCTGGGTTTCCCGCATACCTTGTTTCTTGTCGCTAATGCAGTACATAAGCTATCCGGGCGTCACTGAAAGGGCACCAGGAGCGGAGACCCGGGGTGCAGGAGCAGCCAGGAGATGGGCATGTGGGTTGCCGAAGTCTGATGGCCATGGCGCAAGGGGGAAGGCAAAATAAAAATGCCCGCGGCGAGGCCCGTCCCTCCTCACAATCATGGGAGACGTGGCGAAGGTTGAAGCAGCAGCATGAGCTGGCTGTGAAAGCTGCAGGGGCTGGCAGAGTGGAAGATGAGCAAAAACCACTGATGCTGCTCTTGTTGGGGGTCTGGGGCCGAAACGTTGGGTATATGCACTGGGCATATGTGACGGACGCAATGCTGGGTATATGCAATGGATACATGCAATGGGTCTAATGCTGGGTATATAGGATGGGTATATGCCAATATAGCCCTGTGTATATGGGACAGGTGTAATGCTGGGTATAGTGCTGGGTACACACACTGGGTAGGGAGTTTGGGGCAGTGCAGGGTATATGAAATGGGTATATGCATTGAATAGAGCAATGGGTATAGCCTTTGGTGTAGTGCTGGGTATACTGCTGGGTACACGCACTGGGTGTAGTGTTGAGTATCGCACTGAGTTCCATATCAAGGGTGAAGGGGGGAGGGAAAGAACGACAGAAGGAATCGTGAAAAGGTCTGGGGGTCACAGGGCCCCCAGGGAAAGGTCTGGGGGTCACAGGGCCCCCAGGGATAGATCTGGGAGTCACAGGGCCCCTAGGGAAAGGTCTGGGGTCACAGGGCCCCTAGGAAGGGGGTTCCCTTTCCAAGGCCTGGCCCCTGAGGGAAGAGGAGTTCATCTTCACACCTTAACGTTTAACAAGTCCCGTCCCATGAGCTGGCCCTTCGTGGGGCCGGATTGTGGCGTCTGGCGCACACCAGGTGCTCAGCACGTTACAGCGTCTGGCCCCAAACAACGCCCTGCCTACAGACCCTCTCGTTCTGGGCTCGCCCCGGCAGAGAGCTGTGCGGGGCACTTGCCAAGGCAGCGCTGCTCAGCCAGGCAGCAGGACGGAGAGCCGGGCGAGCGCCCGCAGAGGGGCAGAGGGCGCGTGGCTGGAAGCCCCGAGTTTGAGCAGGGAGGGGAGACTTGGCGGAGTGTCAGCCGGGGTCACTGGGCTGGCGTGGGGGAACGCCCAGCTGTCGGGGGAGTGTGTGGAGACCAGGATCAGCCCCACGCCTGGGGGAGAGCAGAGGCTGAGCTGAAAATGCAGGGGCTAGAGGTGCAAAGGGGGGCTCTTGAGGGCAGGGGAATTGCTGGGGGGGAAGCCAGTACTGCTGCTGTCTAGCCTGGCTATGCACCCTACACCTGTAGCCTGGCTTGGGGGTGGGGGCGTCCAGCACCCTGCCAGCTCTGAGGGGTGTGGTGGCTAACGGGTGCCCCAGGAACCGCGATGGGACCGATCAGATCACCTCCCCTGGGTTGGCCCTGGAGGTCTCCCAGCTCTCTGCTGGCCCAGCCCAACCCCGCTTCGTTGGGGGAGGCAGACAGCACACAGCCTGAGGCTGTGTCTCCATTACCCTTCCCCTCCTCCCCGTGCCCTCTTCTGTCTGCCAGTGTACCTGGTCTCCATGCCACCTGCTGAGGCCTGGCCAGTCCTGTCTCAGATCCCCCAGACGGGACCCACCCTGGTGCCGGGCTCGCCCGTGGGGGCACTCCAGGACCGATGTCACAGCCCCGTGACACCATAGCAATGAAATCCCACTGCCTCGAACAAGGTCTGGGAGCTCCGGGACGGCTCCCTGAAACCACTGAGACTCTGCCACAACCCTGGGGCTGGTGACCCCCCCGGCCCTCCCACAGCTGTGGCTAGCTTGCTAGCAAAGGCAGTTTGGGCGGCTCTGAGCCCCCCACGGCACCTACTGCCCTGAGCATGCCAGGCTGTGGCATCGCCCCGGGGAAGGCTGGCTAAGGCCCGGGTGGCAGAGCCAGGTGTAGTGGGCATGCCAGGCGGAGCTTTGTACCAGTGCGCAGGGCCGCCTGGCGAGGGGGTTGCAGCCACAGCAGAGGAACCCAGGGCTGTTTCATGGCGCCATCGGTTCTGAGGTTGGGAGCTTCCTCCATTACTGGCGGCGGGCAGGCAGCGGTGAGGGCAGGAGGCTCCGTCGGGCACAGCGGCCCATTAATCATTGTATGGGAACAGCAAAGTGACCTCTGGTTAGTGAGCGCAGACCACGCAGGGGCCATTACAGCACAAATGATATTACATAAAGCAGCCATTAGTGTTTGTCTGTTGCCAGGGGAACCAGGAGCCTGCCTGGTCATGGTCACTAGAGGGGAGGAGGGAGGGGTCTTTCTTTCTTTCTTTCTTTCTTTCTTACTTTCTTCACTCCCTCAACCTTTACAATTCCCCCCCACCCCTCCCGCAATTTGATTTGGATGCCACATTCTACTCCACTTCCTGTTCTAACTTCTTGCACAGCGTTCCTGTGCACTGTTACATGGTTGCTGTGTTCCACCCCAGAGGTGGCTGCATTCCAGCGTGCAGTGAGTGAGCCATGTGCAGCGTTGCTGTCCAGTATTCAATTATTGCTGTGTTCCAGCCCAGTGGTGGCTGCAATGACTCCCTTTCCTTTCACTATCAAAGGGATCCTCTAAGGGATACTGTGAGGAAATACTAGAGCAGGGGTAGGCAACCTATGGCACGTGTGCCGAAGGCGGCACGTGAGCTGATTTTCAGTGGCACTCACACTGCCCGGGTCCTGGCCACCGGTCCGGGGGGCTCTGCATTTTAATTTAATTTTAAATGAAGCTTCTTAAACATTTTAAAAACCTTATTTACTTTACATACAACAATAGTTTAGTTCTATATTATAGACTTATAGAAAGAGACCTTCTAAAAACGTTCAAAAGTATGACTGGCACGCGAAACCGTAAATCAGAGTGAATAAATGAAGGCTCGGCACACCACTTCTGAAAGGTTGCTGACCCCTGCACTAGAGTCAGTTTCCAGCCAACAGGGGGCGCTGTGGGGAATGCGACAGGGTCACTAAGACAGGGTGTGTGAGCTAGACCGGAGCCCAGCCGCTCCCAGCTCCTACTCCTGACTTGGGTAAGCCACAGTTTCCACACCTGTGAATCACAGCTCGTGGGAGCTATGTTACCATCTTCCTGGGGCGTGCGAGAACCAGGGCAGGTGACTCCGCCGGAGCCAGTGAGCACCAGTCTCCACCACCCTTTGGGGCCGCACCAGGCAAAGGAAGCACGGAGCGCTGGTGGAATTAATTGGGGGGCAGAGCGCAATGGGGGCTGTTGGGCCATCTAGGGCAGGCTCGATGCAATGCCAACTCTCCCCGCTCTAATGCAGCCCCCAGCTCCTGCCATCCTGAGAGCGGGCTGGGGGCAGTGGGCTGGTCGCTGCCAGCAGGGGGCGCTGCTCAGAGCGGGGCACAGGATGGGGGGAAAGAGGCTGGTGAGGGGGTGCTGGCCTGCAGTCTCACGCCTGGCTTTTCCTTTCAGATTCGGAGCAAAGCAGCAGTCCGAGGACAGGGATCGGCTCAGACCAGGAGGACAGCAAACCTATCACATTGGGTAAGTCAGCGCTGGGCGGGGGGGTCCCCTCAGCCCTCTCCATTGCCAGCTTGCGGGGGGGGGGCAGATCTCTCACGCAGACCCCATTTAAAGCGCTCTCAGAACCTCTGTGGGGCAGGGAAGGAAGCCATGCAGGTACTGAGGCAGTTGACACCCTCCCCGTTCACCCTCCGCAAACCCAGGGGCCAGGCCTCTCGCTGGCCACAAGAGTGGTGAGTTTGGGGCTCTCTCAGCCTAGCGTCCCCTGGTGGGAAATCTCTGCACAGCGAGGCCTGAGAATGGGGGTGGGGGAGGAGGAGTTTCTTAAAGCCCCAGCCTCTGGAGTCAGGTGCTTATGGGAGAATCTCAGCTTTGGTTTAAAAAATAGCCCAGGGATGTTTCTCACCCATGTGGCTGTGGAGAAACGCTGGAAGACCTGAAGCCACTGCAGCCTGAAGGCAAAGGACGAGAACCCCCGTTCGTTAGTTGTCACATCTCAGGATTCGTGGGGGCTGCCCCATCATTCTGGGATGCTGTAGGGGAGGCAGGTTTCTGCTCAGAAGAGGCCCAGGGGCCGGGGCTGGGATAGTGGAGGGGCTGTGGGGTGGGACTGAGGGGCAGCAGCAGAGCTGTTGGGGGAGCCCTGGACTGGAGCATCAGGGGTGATGGGAATTTAGGGCCATTGCAGAGCTGTCGGGGGGACCCAGCACCGGAACAGTGGAGAGGCTGCAAACCAGGGGCATGGGGCATTGGCAGCGCTGGGCATGGGAAGCTTGTACAGCGCTCGTGCATTCTAGGCCAGTCTCTCTTGTCAAATTACCTCCCAGGCCGCTTCTACCAGAGCGGGCGTGGGGGTCCTGAGGGGCACAGAGAGCGGTCACACAGCCGCCCCAGACTCTTTGCCACAGCGCTCCTCACCCGGGGAACAGCTGAACAGACCTCACGCCTGCCGCAGGGGGCGCCGGAGAGCCCTGGGCCAGTACAGTACCATTGGCAGGTTCTCACTCCTGCCGCAGGGGGCGCCGGAGAGCCCTGGGTCAATGCAGTACCACAGGCGGGTTCTCACTCCTGCCACAGGGGGCGCCGGAGAGCCCTGGGCCAGTACAGTACCACAGGCGGGTTCTCACCCCTGCCACAGGGGGCGCCGGAGAGCCCTGGGTCAATGCAGTACCACAGGCGGGTTCTCACTCCTGCCACAGGGGGCGCCGGAGAGCCCTGGGCCAGTACAGTACCATTGGCAGGTTCTCACTCCTGCCGCAGGGGGCGCCGGAGAGCACTGGGCCAGTCCAGCCCTATGGATGCGGGAAGGTTTTAGCCGAGTTTTGCATCGAAGTGGCCAGCAGCACAGACACCTGCTCCTTCAGGGGGCAGTGTTGTGCCTGCTCTCCCAATGACATCAGACAGCCCACAGCAGGACCATGAGCCGGCAGGGCGAAGCCCAGGTGCTCCCAAGGGGTCACATTTGTGCTTCCCCCTGAGAGCTGCTGGGGCCTTTTCAAGAGCACACGGTTCCCTCTTGCCAGCAGTCGATGCGGAAGATGCTGAGGGCACCCAGGCCTCTCCAGCCAGCACCCCAAACCAGTGGTTCTGTGCCTGGCTGTCAGGCTGAGGCTCTGGGCCCCCCTTAGGCGCCCTTGTTCACAAGAACCGGGCTCTGCGTGCCCCCCAGCTCCCGGGCACAGAGTCAGAAACAGCCCTTTGCATGAAGCGAGCTCGGAGCTCAGACTTGGCGTGAGGATTTGCAAACACAGGAGATGGGGTGGGGCTGGGTGCGGTGGGTAGCGCTGGAGAGAGGGTCAGACTAGCACAAATAGAAGAGCTGGATGTTAATGGAGAGCAGAACTTCCCCACCCAGGCAGGAACGTTAACCCTCCGCTCTAGGAAAGCCCCTCTCTGGGGGACAGGTGGGGCACCGAGCGGTTCACCCATTAGTAATGTCAAGGGAGGGGTGTCCATAGGACGCCCCTGATTTCACAGGAGTTCACGCCACGGACGTGTTGGGCCCCTGCAACAAATATTACTTGTTACTTGTATCACAGTAGCACCTAGGGACCCCCAAGAAAGATCAGGGTCCCACTGCCAGGAGCTGCCCAGACACCTAGAGAGACAGCCTGGCACCCCAAGGGTGGGAAGGGGACCCAGAGGCCAGAAGCAGGCCAGTGGTAGAGGCAGAAAGAGAACCCAGGTGTCCTGAGGCCTGGGCCTCCCCACTAGGCCGCACGGTTTTAGACAAAAGCACATTTTGGTCGGCCGCCACGTCTGTCTGACAGCCAGCAAGGCGGAGGCAGAGGAGCAGGGAGAGAGGGCTCCCAGCCGGCCTGCGCCAGCCAAATCCCTGGCTGCCGCTGGTCCAGGGCATCCCCAGAGCAGCGTCCGGAAGTGCTGGGGGTGAAAGGTCAGGCGCCGAGGTGGAACAGAAAGGAAGCGATTGGATTTTGCTAGATGGGAAAATGCCACGGAGAGGAAACTGCTGAGCCAGGGCTTTCTCCTCCACCTCCGGCTTCTGCCAGCAGCGTCTCAGCCGCCGGTGACGCTGAGACCCAAACTGACCCCGTCTGCTGCTGGTGCACCGCCCCGCACTCTCGCCCTCCTGCAGCAGAAGTGCTGACTTAGCAAACCCAGGCTGCAGCAGGGGCTTGGCTCCTCGGTGCCTGGGGTGACATACGCTCCCGGCAGATGCTGAATAGCTTCCCTCTAAGGGGACCGGGCTGAGCGACGGGGAGACCGCTGGCTGGCCAGGAGCCGGAGGTTTTATCAGCTAGTCTGTGGAGCGTGGAATGAGTTTGGCAGGCCTCAGCCCAGCTCCCCAGCATAACAGCCGTCCTCGGGCTCCTTGCAGAGAGGCCAACAGAGTGTTTGCGTGGACCTGTGGCAGAGGGCAGCAGGACAGCGGGAGCATGCCCTGGGATTCCAGGTGCAGGGTGACTGGAGACGGGCAGGGTGGTGCCAGTGGTAGGATCTGGTGCCCAGAACAGGGACTGAATCCCAAGCTGGCAAATTCGCAGTTTGCCCCCATTCACTGACTTTGCTGTCTCGCTGTGAGCGCCCGGATCTCCCGCCCGCGGCCGCTTTCCACTGAGTCACTCCTGTGGTTGGGTTTGGTTTTCTGAGTCACCCCCCACGTGCCAGAGGCCCCTGCACTCAGCTTTGCCAGCGTGCCAGCCCCGGGGCATGCGGGCAGGAGCTTGGCTGCCAACTGGGGATGGAAGTATCTAGGACTATTGAGCCATCAGTTATTATTGAGAAGTGGCACCTGGAGGCCACCCCCGCTGGCACGCTCCATGCCAGCCCTAGACCATTGTGCCAGGCACTGCACAAACATACAGTCGAATCAGCCCCTGCCCAGAAGAGTTTACAGTCTATACAGACAAAAGATTAGAGACAGGAAGCTGAGACCCGGAGAGCCAAAGGGACTTGCCCCTGATCACGCAGGGGATCTTCAGAAGGACTGGGGTCAGATCTCTGAGCCCTGTGCTCTTCCGAGACCCAGGCCAACAGCCTCAATGCAAGACCATCCTGCCTTTGTGCCATTTGCTGCTAAAAAAAGGGACTGCTGTTCTACCAAGCCTGCCCTGATGCGTGCATGATTCCCATGCTCAGAACTGCATACACCAGCCTTGATACAGCACTTGTCAGTCCCCAAATACAAATGCAGGGCAGTGTCATTGTCCCCACTTTACAGATGGGGAAACTGAGATGCAAAGCTTGTCACCCTAACTTGATAGATTTCTTTGAAGAGATTACAAATTTGGTTGGTACAGGTAATAGTGTAAGGCATTTTGGCTTGGTACTGCAGGATATTTTGATTAAAAAACGAGAACAATACAAGATCAACATGGCACCCATAACATGGACTAAAATCTGGCTCACTGATGGGTCTCACAATGTAACTGAGAATGGGGACACATCATCAATGTGCTTCTAGCGGAGTCCTGCCGGGGTCAGTTCTGGGCCCCACGGTCTTGAACATTTTTATCAACTACCTTGAAAAGAACATCAAATCATCACCGATAAAGTTTGCAGATGACACAAAGATTGGTGAATAACGAAGCTGACAGGTCACTGAGACAGATCGGGCTAGTTTGCCTGGTGAGCTGGGCACAACCAGCCAACCTGCGAAGTCACCTGTCGAGGAACCATTACAGGAGGCGATGAAAAAGATGGAGAAACGTTCTTCTCTCTTGCCACAGACGGCAGGACAAGAGGCAGTGGGTTCCAACGACAGCGGAGCAGATTTAGATTAAAGCTCAGTAAGAACAGTAGGCCAATGGACCAGACCTGCCTCGAGAGGTTGTGGAAGGTCCTTCACTGGAGGTTTTTGAAAGGAGGCTGGAGAGCACCTGTCTTGGTGCAGACACAGCAAATCCTGCCTCTTGGCAGGGGTTAGACTGGATGACCCTTGTGGTCCCTTCTAACCCTACAGTTCTTTGGGGTACTCCTGGAGAAGCAGTGCCTCTGAACAGGACTTTGGGGTCATGGTGGATAATCAGTTGAACTCGCTCTGGGTTACTGTGATCCTTGGACGTATAAAGAGGGGACTCTCAAGTAGGAGTAGGGAGGTTCTTTTACCCCTGGATTTGGCTCTGGTGCGACCGCTGCTGGGACTTTGTCCAGTTCTGGTGCCCACAATTCAGGAAGATGTTGCTCATGGGGGAGGGTTCAGAGAAGAGCCCTGAGAATGACTACAGGATTGGGACACCTGCCTCGCGGAGCTCTGTCTGGATAGCAAAGAGAAGGTTGAGGGGTGATGTGGTAAGCAGCTGCCTCGGGAGCAGGAATTTGAGAATCGAGGGCTCCTCAGTCCAGCAGAGCCAGGTCTAATGAAATCCAGTGGCTGGGAGTTGAAGCCGGGATGACAAACAAGGTCCAATTTTTAGTGAGGCTAATTAACCATTGGAACAATTTGCCTGGGGCCGTGGGGGGGGTTCTCAGCCCTGGAAATGGTTAAATCAAAAGGGGGTGTTTTTCTCCCAGCTCTGTGCTTGTTCCCCAGGAATTAGTTCAGGGATGTGCTGTGCTGGAGCCAGAGGTGAAAGTAAGCCCGTACGCCCCGGTACGGTGTATCGGCAAGAGCCGGTTTGCCGTACTGGAGCCCCAGGCCCTTTAAATTGCCACCAGAGCCTCACTGCTGGAGCCCTGGGATAGGGCTGCGGGGCTCTGGGGGGCTATTTAAAAAGTCCGGGGCTCCCGCTGCTTCTACTGCCCCGGCCCTTTAAATAGCCGCGGGAGCCCCACCGCTTCCCCAGGGCTCCCGCGGCTATTTACAGAGCCGGGGCGGTAGAAGCAGGGGAGCCCCGGGCCCTTTAAATAGCCCCCGAAGCCCCGGGCTGCTGCCGCTACCCCGGGGGGGGGAGGGACACTTACCTTACAGGGTGGGCTGGGGCTGGCTCTGACTCCCTCAGCCACGCCCCTTCTGCCCTAGGCCCCGCCCCTTCCAGGGGCCAGAGCTGGCCCCAGCGTACCGGTAAGTCACTGGACTTACTTTCACCCCTGGCAGGAGCTCAGAAGAGATGATTACAGTGGTCCCGGCTGACGTTAAAATCTAGGAATAAGTGAAGGGACTCGAGTCATACCCGGGCCAGGACCACCTGCTGTCCTGCACCCACGCCACTGGGTCATTTCTATGGATAACAAGAATATCCAGAGTAAACGTTTTAAAAGCAAAAGAGCTTGAAAGGGGAATGAACCCTCCTACTTCAGGGCAGGAGCTGAGCTCTAGCCATGGGGTCAGGAGGGGCCTGTGCCTGGGGCAGGTACCCCATCCCTGCGGGATTCTTGCCCGTTCCTTGGAAGCAGCTATTAGAGGCAGGATACCAGGCTAGATGGGCCCCTGATCTAATCTGGCAAGTCCTGCGCTGCCTCTGTTGTGTCTCTGGTTAAAGCAACATTCTGGCTAAAAAAACCGAGGAGTCCTTGTGGCACCTTAGAGACTCGCACATTTATCTGGGCATAAGCTTTCGTGGGCTACAGCCCACTCCTTCAGTTACAGCAACCCTGAGCACTTGTGACCCAGCCCATGGAGAGAATTAGAGCTGCTTTCACACCCCGGGTTGGGGTTTGAAGCTATGTGAGTGCCATGAAAGCAGGTCAGGTCAGTGTGACATGTACGTCAGTTACTGGCTATCTGACACACAGGTGCAATACGTGGGAGCCAGCATGAGTCACGCAGATAGGAAATTAGATTTCACAGCCAGTGCCTGGGGATCTGGGCTGGGGATCCCTCGCCCTCTCCGAGCCCCAGGCAGGAGCGGGCAGCGCTCGGGGGGCAGGGTTGTTGACAAGGAGCAAAAAGGGTGGGGAGGAGCCAGGCTGGGCCATGCCAACGCTGCTCTGGTGCCCATTGGATCTTCCCACTGGGCCGACTTGGGAACTTGGCAGGGGCCCATGGGCCGGCAGCTGCTGGGCGAGGGGGCAGATTGCGGCTTTAACGCCAGGCTGCGGGAATGTCTGCTCCAGCCATTGCCCCAAGCAGACCATGGGAGGTCCCTGGGATCCCGCACCTTGGGGCGGCTACAGCCTCTCTTCCTTGCCAGGACTCTAGCTAGCTGGCAGCCCCAGGAAGCGATGCCCAGCACAGGCAGCAGGAGGGCTGCAGGAGGGAGGAGGGAATCTCCGTGGCCCTGCCCGCCCTGGCCTCTGCAGAGATGCGGCCAGTAGCTGAGGTGCCATCTCTACCCCGGAGCTCCTCTCCCCTAGGTCCCTGCAGAGCGATGACTTCCAGCATCTAGGCTCCCTGGCCCACTCCAAACCCAGAGCCAGCCCAGCCCCTTGGCTCTGCTAATTGATGGGCAATTGACTCAGTGAGCCAGCACCTCAGGCCAGGCTGCTCTAGACCAGGAACGCACCGGGCCTTGACTCTGGCCTAGCCAAGGGGAGCCCGGACCTCCTGCAGGCCCCTGCCTCAGCTCCCAGGAGCAAGGCTGGGACCAGCAAGCCAGGCAGCTCCCCCACCCGTGGAAACCTGGGCACCGTGTGCCACGTGCGCGCCTCGGGCATCGCGGTGGGGCGTCATGACACTGCTGGGCAACGCCGGCCCCCAGCGGCCGTGCAAGGAGGCAGGTCCCCAAAGCGATGGCTTGTGGGTGGAGGGCTGGGCAGAGGCCCACCCCGGTTAGAGCCACAGGGAGGGAATGGCGGCGAGTCTGGTGCCAGCTATGGGTGCCCGGAGCCGTGTCTCTCGGCTCCTCTCATCTCTCTCTCTCTCCCCGCGGCAGATACGACAGACTTCCAGGAGAGCTTTGTCACGTCGGGGGTATTCAGCGTCACAGAGCTCATCCAGGTCTCCCGAAGTGAGTACCAGGCCGGGGACGCGGCGGCAGGCAGGAAAGCCGTCGGGGCCCCAGAACTTTCCCTAGCCCTGACAAACGCGCCATTGCATGGCGAGGCAGAGCCAGACACTTCCCCTTCCGCCCCCGCAGCCCCTCCAGGGGAGCAGACTGCGTGGAGTTCGGCTCAGGGCCTGGTGAACAGGTCTGGGCACAGCCTGGCAGCCTCATGCCAATGGCTCTGTTCCCGAGACCAGTGGGGGCGCCAGTCTTAGCTGGCATAACGGCCAGGGTGAATGTCCCCCCAGGAGTGGGTAGCAAACGCAGCTTTCCCCCTGAGCAGAGACCCAGGGGAGTTTTTCTGATTAGCCCCCCTGACGCGGGTCTTTCTATGTTGTGATCCACAGCGCCGGTGGTGACAGGCACGGGGCCAAACTTCTCTCTGGGTGAGTTGCAGGGTCATCTGGCCTATGATCTGAACCCCTCGAGCACTGGCATGAGACGGACGCTCCCCAGCACCTCGTCCAGCGGGTACGTACCAGCCTCAGCACGGGCTCTGGGGGCAGCGGGGCCGGGTGGGGGCTGAGCTGGGCCTTTTCTAGGCCTTCTCTGTGCAGCACAGTGTGGGAAGGGCGAGGCAGGTTCAGTCCTGCTTCAGCCAGACGTGGGGCTTGCCGGCACGCCTAGTCCCATGCGTGCAAGCACCTTCCTGGGCACACACACACAACCGTGCCCATAGAGGCCCGGATGTACAGAGATGTAAGCATGCACGGGGACCCGCATGGCGGTGCAGTCGCACATGGAGTCCCACATCTGCACCCTGCGACACGCATGGCGCTCCAGTCACACACGCCGACAGAGCACGCACGTCCACGGACTCGTGCAGACACACACACCGGGCAGCAGTGTAAAACTCCGCCTGCGCGGCCTCAGATCGGGGTTAGTTTGGTCCACGGAATAGAAATCCAGGGCAGGTTTTTGCCTTTGCTGGGCGGTAGCCAGAGTCCAGTGCAGGCGGGCTCCTCTCCTCCTCACTCCTAGTCCTCTCCCTGCCTGACACGCGGTGTCCTAGGGGAACTCCTTCCTTCCACACTGGCTGCAGCCCAGGCTCCCAGCCTCTAGCCTGGTAACCTCCTCTGGTGCGGAGGGGGCATATGTGTTACTTAACCCCAGCAGTGCTGCAGCGCTCCAGGGACCTGTTGCAGTCACAGCCCTGCTGGGAACAAAGCCAGCAGTGACGTGGTTAACCAGCAGTTTTGGCCTGGTGGCTTCCAGGGCCAACCTAGAGCAGCCCTGAGCTTGGCAGCTGCAGCAGCCTGGCGGCGTGAGCCTGTCACTGCTCCAGCTAAGCCGGGCCAAGGCTGTGCAGGAGTTGGATGGGAGACCGCTTGAGGAGCCCTGCAGAAAATGGCGTGGGTCCTGCCCCCAGTGATGGGGGCTTTCCCCTCTGACGCAGGCCTGGCCCCATGCCTGGGGCTGTTGCATATGGACTGAGGCCGGTGGAGTCTTAGGAATGAGGAGGAGTATTAGCAGCAGTTTCCCTACCTCCTTTGGACAGGACCTTGTGCCTCCCTGTAATCCCCGTCCCTCTGAATATGGTCTTTGCCACTTCCGGTCCTAGACTAGGGTGACCAGACAGCAGATGTGAAAAATCGGGACAGGGGGTAGGGGGTAATAGGAGCCTATATCAGAAAAAGATCCAAAAATCGGGACTGTCCCTATAAAATCGGGACATCTGGTCACCCTATCCTAGACTGTTGTGTGTGGCTGTTAAACAGCTGCTGCGTTCCACCCCAGAGGCAGCTGCCCACGTGACTCCTATGCATAGCTAGCCGATGAGGATGATATTATTCAGTGGCTGCGGGTGTGCGCCCTGTGCTTTCAGCCTGTAAACTAGTATGAGAGAACAGGAGCCTGGGAGCTGAGGGAGAAGCAGCCCGCTTAGGTCTCTGGGCAGAATTTGGCTTTCATGGGCGCTGCCAGGTTACTGGAGAGCAGAATTTGGCCCACAGAGTCCATTTCCTCTGCCAGGGAACAAGCTGGCAGAGACCAGGCCCTGTGGATTTCCCGCCAGATGAGCTAGGTGAGGGGAGGGGGATCTTGCCGGCCTTGCCTCACTGGTTTGGCAGGGTGGACGAGGCCTCAGGGAGCCCCTTCCTTTCTCTCGTCTTTGATCGGGGCCGGCGTGGGTCAGCCAAGCCCTCGGACACATGCTTAGAGTTAACTGGTGCTCCGGGCGTTGCTGGCGATGGTTGGCTACACTGGGGCCTGTTTCTGGCCTGACTCGCTTCCCAGGCCCGTGTTGGTATCACTACGTCGCGCAGGGGTGTGAAAAATCCACACACCCCCCCCCGAGCGACGCAGTTACACCCCTAGCTTCCCGCAGACAGCGCCCTGCGCACGGGAGGGCTTCTTCCATAGACACAGTGACCCCTCTCCGGGAGGTGGATTAGCAAGGCCAAGGGGAGCGGCTCTCCTGACGCGGCAGCTGTGTGCATGAACACAAGTTTGGCTCCCAGACCACCCCTTCCTCTTGGAGCCCACTGGGGTCGCGTGGGTGTAACGGAGAGGAGAATTGGGCCCAGCAGCTTCATTTCTTCTTGTCACTGACCCCAGGGCTCCCTGCCACCAGCTCCTCACGGGCGCCCCTTCTGCGCCGAGGCTCCAGGAGGCAGCAGCCACAAGGTGCCACGTCCGTATGGGCTTGGCCCAAGAATCCCAAAGTCGGTAGCCTCCTCTTCTGCCACGCGCACCCCAGGGGACATTCTGCCCCTGAGTAATGAGCGCTCCCAGCTGCCCTGCACAGTGATAACGTCACATTCCTACAGCCCTGACCCGTGTCGGGTGGGCCACTCACTCAGGGAATAGGGGCCATAAGACTGGGCTGGTGACTCGCCTGCGGTCAAACAGCCATTCAGTGGCAGAGTCCCCTACTCTAACCACTAGACCACACTTCCCTCCCAGAGCTGGGCACAGAACCCAGGCATCCGGACGCCTATCCTTGGGTCTAACCACTAGACAGGGAGGGAGGGAGCCCCCGAGCCCTGACTGCCGCCCTTGGCTGTGGGCAGGAGCCTATGGCAGCGAAAGGCCCTGGCGCCTTGATCAATTCTCCTTCCTCCCCTTCCCCAGGAGTAAACGACACAAGTCTGGCTCCATGGAGGATGACATAGACACGAGTCCGGGGGGCGAGTACTACACCTCGCCCAGTTCGCCTACGAGCAGCAGCCGCAACTGGACAGACGACATGGAAGGGGGTAGGTATCCCGCCCGGGCCTTCCCCAGCGTGTTCTCCCGGCTCGGGCGCCAGGCGGGGCCCTGAACCCGGCTTCTCCTTTCTGGGTTAGTCACTTGGGCTTCGGAGCCAGTTCCTGGCTCAGAGGGTCCCCCAGGTGCTGAGCAGGGAAAGGAGCCGCTCCCTGCATCCTGGGGCGTGCCTGCTGCTGATCATGGCATGCTGTATGTGAGGGCATGGCCGGGGGGCGAGCCAGCGTGCCATCCTCCCTCTGCCAGAGACCAGCAGCCGCAGGGTCACTCTGCCAGGCACTCTGGGCTCGCTAGCGGAGCTCCTGGCTGGGTGCGTGGCAGCTCTATAGGAGCCCTCTAGTAGGGGCACTCAGGTTTCTATAGGTGTCTCTGATGGCTGTGCAGGGAATTTCCATGGGTTCACTGGGTCTTCCCCAGCACAGCGTCTCTGGAGTGGGTCTGTGTCAATGAATCTTCCAGGGGAGGGCCGGCAGCTCTTCCCGTGAGCTGCCCTTCCCGCTCAGGAGGCCACCTGGCTCCCCGCCCACCCCCTGCCCTCCCGGTGTCCCTGGCCCCGAGCCCCTCTGTGCACTGCCAGGCTGTGGCCCTGCCCCCGCCGCTCCCCATCTCCACAGGTGCCCCATATTACTGAGGACGGATTTCTTCCTTGTTTGATGTTTTGTCTTCCTGTCTAGACAGCCCCAATTAGCCGTTCATTAAGGGGGGGGGGGTTGGCTGAGCTAATTAAAGCAATACAGACCCTTTTTCAGACGGCTGGTTCCTGGGGTCCCAGGCGGCGCCAGTTGTCCCTGCAAGGACGGGGTGGGGGGAGGGTGTTGTACATTATCTTGTATTTATTTCTTTTTATAATCTTGCGATTTCTGTCAGCGGGTAGGGGGAGGTTCCCCAGGGATCTGCTGGGTTGGGGGGGGGCAGCGGGCACTGGCAGCTAATGGCCCCGGGGGGGTCACCCCCCCAGCTTCACATAATTAGGGACTTTTTAAAGGGGCTCTTTAGCTTTCCTACCTCTCAGCCTCGGAGCCCCAAACTATTCCCCCCCCCGTCCTTGGGCCCGGCCCCCAGCCCTCCCCCCAGACTGTGCGTGTGCGTGTGTCCGTGTACACCTGTGTGTTTGTGCACATGTGTGTGTAAAGGTGGGCTGGGGGGGTTCAGACTCCAAGCCCAGATCCTGGGCCCCCTTCCAGACCCCGCGCCATGCCAGGAGTCCAGGGCCAGACCACAATCACAGCCCGAGCCTGTGTCTGCCCTGCTGGGCGCGGACCCTGAGCCCCCCCGACCGGGACTGCAGGTGTCCCCTGACCCCTGCTGGAAGCGCCATATCACAAGCTGGACAGCTGCTCTGGGCTTTGCACCATTGAGCCAGCCCGGGGGCACCGAGGACAGTGCACACAGCCCCCCCTTCTCCAGGCGGAGCAGGGGGGCAGAGAACTCTGAGCTCCAGCAGTTCTGGGCAGCAGAGCACACCGAGAGGCCCAGTGCAGAATCTAGTCCATTTACACCAGCCTGAAATCAGAACCAGGCACAAGGTCTCGTGCTGGGGACACAGGACTCCTGGGTTCGAGTCCCAGCACTGACTCGGCACTTTGGGCTGGCCAATCTGTTCTCTGTGCCTCGGTTTCCCCACCTTGGGAAGAATGGCGCTGACCCCAAGTGGGGAGGCGTCTCGGTGGTGTCCTGAGTTAGCAGCTGCAAAGCACTTTACCCCGGGATTGGAAAATCCCAGAGCCGGCTGAGAGTTTTGTTCAAAGCTGGTTTGGGATGTAAAAGGGCCTGTTTCTTTTCCTAAATGAAAATTTTCCACAAAGAAAACCCGTTTCTTTAGAAATTTGGGGGAGGTTTTTTTTAATGAAAAACGCAAAGCGAGGCAGGTTATTACGTAAACCCTGCCCCCTCCCCATTTTTGCTTTCCAAGTTTTTCCTGGGAAAAGCCCTTTTCCAGCCGGCTCTGTTGATGCTGATGAATGTGAGATTGTTTTAAAGATCCCTAGGATAGGTTATTCAATCTTCCGCTGTTCAGGCTCCCGGGTTTTGCTAGCCTCTTTGATATTTGCTAGAGGTGGGTTTCGCTGTCTATTATTTATTTATTCTTTGCACTGTGGTAGCCCCTAGCAGCCTCCTCTCGGCCCAGGTCCCTGGCCTGCTAGGCACTGAAGAAACACAGAACCAAGAGAAGCTCCCTACGTCAAAGATAGATTGTGCTGGGTGGGTCTGGGCTCCAGTGGGGGCTGGGTGCGAGTGCGTGAGTCCCCCTCTCTCTGTGCCCCCCAAGCCCGGCCGTGGGGGGGGGGGGGGTAAGCCATCCGAGAAGGGATGTGCTTAGCCGGCGCGTCGCAGGGGGGTTTATTTCAATCCCGTACTGGATGTTCTGTGAAATCCTCCTAAATGACCGTCTGAGAACGGGCTAAACCCATTAACACCGGCTGGGCCAAATGGCTGGAGATAAATCCTCCATGGCACGGTGGCAGCAGGATTAACTCCCTCTGGGAGCGCCCCGCTTCGGGCAGGGGGAGCCCCCCATGGAGCCCCAGGATGGGGAAGGGCAGACGAGCCACACGCCCTCTCTAGGGGATGCCCAGTGCCCTGCACAGCCACAGGGCTCTGCCCTGGTGGGAGAGTCCTGCCAATGCCCACGGGCTGAGGGGGCTGCAGGGGAAGCCGTGGCCGGGGGGGAAGCAGTGGTGGGGTTGAACGCAGGGCACAGCAGAGAGGAGGGCACGGGGTGAATTGGGGAGGGGCGGAAGGGGAAGAGCGAGGCAGTGGGAGACGGGGCCAAGGGGCACGGAGGGGGATTGCAGTGGGCGAGTGGAGGGGCTGGGTCAGAGGAAGCAGCTGCCCAGGATGTGGGGTGCCCCGTACAGCCCAGGGGAGAGCAGGGAACCAGGCACCCCAGCCAGAGACACCATCCTTCCCCAGCAGCAAGGGGAGCTATCCCCAGGCGGCCGCACACCGCCTCTGGGCCTGCCAGCTGGCGTGGGGGGAGCCAGTTCCTCCAGCTCCTCTCCCCAAATCCCCCGGGGCTTAGCTGTCCATGCCCTGTGCCCGGAGAGGCCCTGGCACGAGGGAGCACAGGGGAAGACAGTCAGTGGGTCGGAATAGAGCAAGGCGGAGCAGGTGCAGTGCACGCTGGAGGACGCTAGGGAGCGCTGGTGAACACCGGAGGGGGGGGCAGCTGTTCCATTTCGCTGAGTGCTGCTGGCTCCCGGGTGAAAGGCAGTGAGGCAGGCTGGGGTCAGGGACACCGGCCTGGAGACCTGGGCCCTATCGCCTCTAGGACCGAGTCTGCCAGCCTTCGCTCAGCGGGAGGAGAAAGCTGCAGGGTTTGGCCCTCTGAAAGCAAGGATGAGCCAGCGGGACTCAGTGCCCAGCCCTGGAGAACCCAGGCGTCCGGGCCTGTTTTAAAAACTGACCCGAATTTCTGCTTAAACTCCTGCTGAGCCCAAGCCTTCGCCCAGGGCTTCCCCTTGTCACCTGCATGGCGAGCCTAGCTAGGCCCCCTACACTGGCGTGGGCACTGTTCTCACAGCACACGCAGCCCCACGGGAGGCAGGATATGTTGGGCCTGTTCCCACGGCAGATCCAGCCGTGCGGGAGGCCAGTGGTGGGCGCTGCTGGGGGGAGATTCCTGCCCTGCATTCCCAGAGGGAAGCGACAGAGATCCTGACCCCCGTTTGTGTGCTGGCAGTGGGGGCTGGTCCCTGGTGATTAGAGGCCAGTAGTGCAGACGAGGAGAACTCTTTGCAAGTTGGTTTGGATCAGAGGCTGGGCTGGGAGCCCCTCCCCCTGGGGGTTCGGTTCCAGCAAGCTAGGCAGACATAGTGCCGGAGAGCAGCTCCCGGGGGTTCAGTGCCATCGGAGAGTGACGGCAGCGGTATCATCGCGTGCCTCCTAGTGGAGGTGCAGGGTCGGACAGGGCAGTGACGCGCCAGAATGCAGCTCGGGAGATAGCAGGCAAAGCCCCGAATTCTGGGCTGGACTGGGGGCGGGACTGCCCCTAGTGTGTTAGAATAGCCCTGGGGCTGCTCTACCTTACTGCAGCCCTACTGGCCCTGCACGGACCACTGTGCAGCCCCGAATAGCCAGCCCACACAGCACTGCAGCCACTCCTCCTCCTGTCCCCCCATACACCTGTCCTCCCAGGCCTGTGGGGGTGGGGGTCCTATGCTGGCCTTGGGGAGACGATCTCATCGCAGGGACGTTCCCCTGCTCAGCAGCCCTTCCCCCTCCCCCCCATGGTGTTTATGCCTTTTGGCTCCTTGTGCTTAGGGCTCAAATCCCCCAGCTCAGCGCTCTGCAAAGCTCAACGTATTTTTAGCTCTCCTAATCTTTCCTCATAAATCAACAGCCAACTATCCCGGCTGGGGCCCATAACGGGGCAGGGCTGGGGCTGGGGTCTCCTGTCTCCAGGAATGCCAGTGACTCAACACCACAAGCTGAGCCGAGCGGATCTAGAGCCAGAGGGTTTCCTTTACTTTGGGTGACGCTCAGTGGCAGAGGGGAAAACAGCGTCTCCGTCCCGTTTGCTAAGACAGGGCCGACAAAGGGGGGCTTGGCTGGTTCCCGTTCTCCTTGACACAGACACCTCTGCCCTGACAGACCCCGCAG